TTTCCTCAGAATGCTTGTTTTTGATTCCTGATGATTGGATGCACTGACTTTATGGCTTTTTCTCCCTACTTCTTTTTCCTCTTGATTTTGCCCCAGGACACAGTTACATTAAATTTTAGAGTGGTCCAAKGTGCAGTATGTAACTGAAGGCACTGTGCAGCATCTTTGGGATGTTAATAGTCACACAGTCACTAGGGAGGGAAAAATTCAGGTCCCTGGGAGACAGGAAGCTCTGCTTTTTGGAGGACTTGTGGTCGTGTGATGAAATAGGCTAGGACTAACACCCCTCTCAGTGCGATAAATCAGGAGTGATTTTTTTTTGAACTAACAAGGGGTCTCAAAGAGATAAAAGTAGTGACAGGAGAATCATTGCCCTTCTCTCTTGAGAGCAGACAGTTGGTTAAATTCCTTTGCTCCTCGGGCAGTGCTGAATGCCATGAGGTGATGGTTGGGTCTGTGGGGAGTGGGGACAGTCAGGATGTGAATGTGCAGMTGTTTCTGCCCAGTGTCACCCCTGCTGTGGCTCACCTTTGCTGCCAGAGCACTCGTTCCTCTCTCTTCTTTTGTAACTCAGATCCTCACCTACACACATTTGCAGCTGAGATTTGTAAAGGACAATTTGATGCTTGAAAAGGGGGGAATTACTTCACAGCTCTACCTGTTGTCGGTGCAACTGCTTGACAACCTGGCAAGAATTCCTTTCTCTCCTTGCCTCTGGTTCTCTTTGTCAGTAAAGAACAGAACATGTATAGTTCTAAGTGCTGAAAATCAAATACTGGCGTGATATATTAGCTTCTCTCTCCCTGCCCCCCAGTGTTCTAAATATGGCTCTACTTTGAAATTAAGTGCACTACAGAATATTCGGTTGCAGCACATTGCTGGCATACAGTTTATAAATTGTTAGTGTTTGGCAGCCCTTGGTTTTTAAATTCCTACTGATCACAAGTAGCTGGCACTAATCAGCTCCAATAGAGTTACGGTACTGTGTACCTTCTTAAATGGCTGGAGAGGAGATATACATCTAAAACCCCATTTATAATAGCCACATGTCAGAAACACTTTACTCTGAGCAGGGTTTTTATTTTACTTTTTACATCTCTCACATTTTACATCTGGTTCAACAGTTCTGAAGGAAACTACATCTGATGTGATAGCAGGAGATCTATATCACACATCTCAAAACCTGCCAGAAATGCAATTTAAATATAGTTTTGGACAGAGTAAAAGAAGTATTATTGGTATCAGATGTTTGGGCAGCGAGAAGTTGAGCTCCATCCCCCCCTTGATTTTTTTTTCGTACAGAAGGAAATCATAATGTGAAATCCTAGTTCTGCTAAAACTTGTGAGAGCTTTGCTGTTGATTCCAGTCCTCAGTTTCACCTTGCAGCTGTAAAGTACCTGCCAAGTTCAAGCAAAACCGTGTAGCTGGAGCAGCAAAGACAGACCTGGATGTGGCCTTTTGCAGAGATGAGCAATGGTTTCAGTGGGGATAACAACCAGCTGTACAGTGTCACTGACTCCAGAGTGATCTTCTCCAGAGCCACAGAAGGTTTGGGGAGGGCAGGCTGGTTCTGCTGCACGTCACTTCATTCCAGTTTATTTTCACCGTGCAAGTTTAGAAATATCTGAAATTTCAGATAATCTAGTTCAAGTCAGGGGTTTTATGCCTTGGTCATCTGAGAGTGCACATACCACCTGAASTGAGCTTCAGGATTTGTGGGAGTCATTCATCAGCAATGGAAGGAGAACACRACCTGCTGGCTGCGTCTGTCACAAATTAGCACCTCCCGTGGCTGGCGTCTGMAGGGGCTGCCTGCACGTCCTCCACACGGGGCAGTGGGCTTAGTTGCCTGGAAATAGGAGAGCCTGTGCRTTAAAGAGCTGTAATTTTAAGATTGTTGGTACTTGGGGTTTGCTGAAAAACAGACCTTGCTGTTGCAGGGCACTGCTAATGACAGCTGTCAGTCAAAGCTTGGGAATGTGCTGGGCCACTTGTGTGTCAGCAGTGTGCCAAAGCACCCATGCTTGGTCATAAATGTGTTTGGTTCTTGTGCTGGGTGCGTAAGAAATGTCATTGTGCGAGTCTGGGGCTGTCTGAACACACAGACCAAGAGCCACTTGGTTATAAAGCTCCTAATTGTTATTATTTCCACATTCTGGAGCCCTAACGAGGGACAGGGCCCGGCGTGATGGACTCAGTRAGAAGATGATCTTCAGCTCTTGCTTTGAAGCACACCACGTTTTTGTCTCATTACTTCTGATCATAATCCAGCACCAAAAGAAATCAAAAGCTGCCTCTGAATTCGGTGAGAGCTGAGGGCACACGGAAGCTCTCAGGAAATGCTCGGTGTGTTGTCAGGATCAGGCCACAAATGTGTAACTCCAGCCTAGAAAACTCATTTCCTTTGAAGCTCAGTTGAGTGTTACTACTACACATCAGCATGTTGCACCACACAGAGTATATCAAATTTGATGTCATTTTTTTTTTCTTCCTTTTTCCCTGGGAACCTGTAAATATCCTTTGGTAGCAAAACCAGAGAGGAATAAATTCTCCTCGATGTATTTACAAATGTGAGAAGCTTTTCAAGTTGTATTTGCAATTCTCTTTCTTGCAATGACCTCTATTTTCATAATCCTTCATGGAATATCATGGTTTAAAGAGCTTTCTCTCCCTGCTGTTTTTGTTAAAAGGTTTTTGGTGTGATATTTGGAAAGTCAAATTCTGCATTTAAATGTTGTGTTTTCACAGATATAAATGAAAGAGACCATATTTATCTTTTCCCCCCTCTTTTCCCTTTCCCTGAGAACATCAAGCAATTCCCCTTTTCCGCGTGTATTGTTAACTAAACCGTGAGAGCATACAGCAGCTTTAATAGTAAAGCAATTGCGATTACATCTTGCTTGTAATTACATTTATTTCCTCACATATGTCCAAAAAGGCAAGCATTAGTTTGGCCTGTATAGGCATGTGCTAATGGCAAGAAAATCRTCTGGCAGCTTGACAGCAAGGAAAATAGCTTACAGTCACTTAGAGTCTTTCATGTCATGGACACTTGCGAAGGCTCAGAGCACTCAGGCTTTCCTTTGCATGAGTTTGAAATCGATTGCGTTCTGAGAGAGGGGGAATTTGCCACGTGCTGTGGATTTGCATCTAAATAATCCCAATGTGAAGGGATACAACTGGCGAGGTGTGCGAGCAGGAATTCGAAAAACCCGGTGGTGGCACCGTACAGGACTAATCCACAAATACCCTGGGCTCTGCTCTGCCTTAGCCTGCAGCYCTCCAGGGGGAAAAGGTGGGCAAATAAAGAGTCTGGAAGGGCTCACTTTTATCCCACATATCATCTCACTGATTTAATTAACCTCTGTGTACAGGACAGTGCAATTCAGAGTGACCCAGAGGGTCACAGTTTGTTCCTGTTGGAACAGGAATGSCAGCCCTGACATTCCTGGCACGGGATGACCACTCTTTTCACTTTTTAGCACAAACCTGGCCAGAAATTTTACAGACTGATTTATGACAAAGCTGAAATTGCATGCATTTTCTCAGTGMAGTAAAGTTTCTTATTGGAAATGATAAATG